CTAAGGTTCCTTTAAATATTTCTTAAATTAAGGCCTAGTTTGACGGCCTAGTCCAAATAGCACAGGTGTGTACAGTCACTTGTACCTGAGAGGACTGTATTATCCTAGCTCTAATTCCTGCAATACACAGAGCCTCTAATGCATTCTGAAAGTGCACTAACATTTTTAGATAGCCACAGAATCTCTGGTGGACTGTGGAAATAGTTCACTAAAAAGGTTTCCTTATTGATTTGGGGGAAGTAAGGGGGGAGAAAGCATTTCCAGACAATTCTAACCTATTCCCACAGAATAATTTTATGCTGAGAAGTTTTTCTTGTAAAACTGTTTCTTAATGACTTGGGTGGTTAGACCAAGCTTGCTTTCAGAAAAAGATCATTTGGAGAAATCCTAACAAAAGACTTCAAAATTCAAACTTTCATTCTTTGTTATTTTGTCCATAGTTTAAATAATATCTGACAAACTAATCATGGACTTTAGCTATAGCTAGACAGTTTAAATAATGGATTGCAGGTTAATATGGCTGGTAGAATAAACAAATCTTGTATAATAACCAAATTCTTGTAAGAAGAGTCTAGGTTGCTAATTATGCCACTTACTTTCCCTTAGATAGCTCTTAAGAAGAGACCTGCTGGCTGTGGACCTTTTGATAAAGAAAGCCTTTAGGCACTGAATATATGGCATCCTCCTACTACTACTACCCACTCTCAACTGGCATCAGTTCCTTATCTCACTTTCACAGGATAATACTCTCTCCAAGTATGTAAAAGAGGCAAACACACAGTTCAGAAAGCTTATTGCCACCTACATAAATCAAAGCTATAATGATCTAAAGAGGGATGTGAAATGAGAAGAAAAGCAGAAAAAGGGAAAGAGCCGGTTTAAGGCTAAGCTAGTCCCATTATTTATGTGTGCAATGACGTGGACAGTAATAAAAGACTTTAAACCTGCTGATCATCTCACAAACAAATCAGTGGTACACAGATCATCTGTGGGTATAGGGAAGGGAAAAGAATATGTCCAGTAGACTGGCCCTAGCCATGATCAGGAAACCCAAAGGCTTAGTTTTTGCACCCAGGGGCAAGCGCAGTGGCAGAGAAGCATGCTTGCATTCTTAAATATATAAATATATATATATATATCCACAAGGAAAAAGAAAATAAAAATTAAATAAATTATATTAAATAACAAAAAAACAAAAAAACCAAAGAAACAGAAAAAAAAAGGCTGGCTTGTCAGGGGATGGGGTTGAGAAGGCCCCAGTGTGTGTACTTACATAGAGGTCAGCACCGTAAAATCCGTCCTGGTAAACCACACTGCAGAAAATCCACACAAAAACAAAAACAAAAAAACAAAAGAACAGAAACACATTCCGGTTATTGAGGACGGCAGCATGCACATGCGCTCTACACAGGCAGGTGATGTATGAATCCGTAACCTGGGCTTTTGGGCCATGGTGAGTCAGTGAGAAAGTGTGATGGTGCACACGCACATACACAGCTCTAGGACATGCGAGGACAGGAGAGGTGTGCACAGCTGGAATGAACAGCCTGGATCTCTGGTCATTAAAGTAAAGATTTAAACAATAAAAAGCACTTCCAGAAGGACCTGATATATAGCTAACAAAAAATCTAGTGGATTGGAAACATCAACTTTTCAAATCCTGAGAATGTTTTAATAAGCTGGCACTAGGAGAAAGCTTTTCTTTAAAGAGCTTAAAAAGGGGAGGGGAAGGATTCACATGAAAAAGATGAACCCAAAGAATTCCAATACGGCAGGACCTGTATACAAAGTATGTTTCAAAACTGTGTGGAGTATTTTGGTCACATCGTAACGTGTAACTTTTTCCCTGATATCCATACATCACCTGCTTTTTACCCTGCACATTAGACATGCGATAAGATTTGGCTGATCACACAAGCATGCAAAGTATTATTATTCAGCATTTTAAGAACCAATGCAACACCTCAGAAAAACAAGTCAATCAATTCTGACCAAAGTAAACAGATAAATGTAATTAAAAAAAAAACACAACCAAAAATACCCACAATGCATTGCTTTCACAAGCAGAGATAATGAGCTAAAAGGTTAAGGTGATTGGTCCAAGGTCTGAGAATTGAAAGGTGCAGTGGGGATCCCAGATAGTAACAATATAATCCACAGTGGGAAGGAGTAACTGGAAGATTTTAAGGGTTCTTTTTGACCAAAAGAGTATTCACGGAATTCTGAAAAATGCAACTGAGAATTGAAATTCTGGGCATGACCAAGGATTATTACCCTGTCTATTTAAAAGAAGAAAACTGAGAAGGTAGCTGGTTAGGAATAGAAGGGTTGTATCAAACAAACAAGGCATCACAATTTTTTTTTTTTTTTTAATTCTGACCAACACTATACTACAGACCTCAAATCTTTTGAGGTATTTTTGTGCATACAGACTTTCCCCAAAACATTACTTTGGGACCAAAAGACATGGAACAGCAGTACGGATAAAAGACAAGACTTTCTTCTTTATAGCTATTAAATCAAGATTTGACTGTTTTAAATTAGTGGATCTGCATATCATTTATTCAACTAAACAAGCTGGAAAATTTCACCGCCACCTTCTCTGTTATAATAAACAAACGAGCAAGTCAAGTCATCAAATTGTACTTTTAACTTGAATATGAAATAAGTTGTTTCTTACAGGTAGCTGAAAAGTTTCTGAATTCTATTTCCAATGACATTTTGTTGTGTTTACATGATAGTATGGTCACACTTTGTAATGCCTCAATTGTGATGTGTCTGCATTATACAACAGGCAACTTCAACTTGTCTTTGATGTTTATTTAGCTAAGCTCTATCCATTTTTATAGCCTCCAACAGTCTAATCTTAGAAAGTAATTTGCCTCTAAATTGCATTTTAGTAAAAAGGAGACTTGTTCATAATGACATGGTTAATAAAATGAAAAGCACTGAGACCAAGTGGCAACTAATTAACTTTCAACTATTTCAGTAAGGGGACATAGGTAAAGATTAAAAAACACTCCTCCTATACAGAAGAATGGTGGTATTAAAAATATGAATAAAATTTACCCTAAGTTGTATGACTCACTGGGAATATTCACCTAAGTTCTGAAAGAATTCCAATATTCCCTGTATCAAATGCCATAAGGAGGCTAGAACACAAGGATTAATGATGAAATTAGTTTACTAAGTTGAAAAGCAATTCCAGGCCATTCCCCATAAAATACTGGACTTATTCCTTGCCATCTTCCTTGCAAACATGTAGTTTAGTTAATAAAAAAGAAAACATGGGAAATTAGGGTTCAATGTAATACACAGAAATTGATGTGATTAGACATATACTAAAGATAAAAATACCTTCAGTAAATATATACCTGACACAGACTTGGTAGCGCGTGGGCTCTCAAGTTTGGCCAATACACTGAAAGGACCTACACTCAGTAGAAATGAATTCAACAACTTTATAAAGTAACTCAGAAATGTTACATATTAAAGAAGTCCCACGTTTCTGGTGAGCAACCTCTTTTTGCAAACATGACAGCAAACTATCCAGGACTGAAATGGAAGACGCTTCATGAACAATTTTCCTAGTGTGTGGAACTTCCAACAGGTTCGTTTTTATGTTTCACTTGAATATGTCTTGGTGAAACAATACTGCATCTTTACTCATTTATTTAAAAAGAGATATCAGAGGTTGAAGGTCAAAGGTCAAGTTGAGAGAAAAAAAGGACAAAACTAAAAGTAAGTTATGGCAGAAGATGGAGATGATGGAATGCATGGGATTTAAACATTTATAAACTGCAAACAAAAGTTAATTACTAAAGCAGTTCTCTTCTAATGGCGTTTGCAGCCTGCCCATTTTAACATGCATACTTGCCTTGTCTAATAAAAATGCTTTAATTTTGTGGAGTGAAGGGATCCCTAAATGGCTTGGCCATTTTGGTTTCTAAGTGGATGCTAAATCAGTACACCTCAAGGTTAGGCCAATTTCGCCGTCAGAAAAGGACCTACAAAGGAGGTTCCCTTTACATTTTAACCAAGTAGCAGCTAAGAGACTTCTTTGCCACTACGTTTATTCCTCAGAAGAATCTGGAAAAAAGCCTGTCACAGGCAGAGAAAAGATGAAGAACACAAACGTCACATCCTTGAAGAGAGAAAGTCCTTGGCACAATTGACTTATAGAAGTCCACTCTTTATAAAATTATACATTTTAGGCTCTGGCACTGAGAAACAACTAAAAACAAAACCTGTCATCTTCACTCCTTCTCCCCCATTCAATAACAAAGGATTTATTTGTTGCTATGGAATCATTCCACTGCATGAGACACCCTCCATACAAAATCAACAGGTGAAGGATGCTCAGCTTAATTAGTTGTTTTACCATCATTCAGAAGCCAACTGCAGTTTAATTCCTCCTACTTCTCCCTTTCTCCCTTGATTCAACTGGACTTGGTTCATCTTTGAATTAACCTCTTTTAATCCGTTTCCTACAAAGAAAGCAAATCCATTGTGGGTAACTAGCTCTGCTGCTCACCACCCAGGCAATGAAACCCAAGGGGCGGACATATGTGATAGCCTCAGCCCCAAGAGGAGGTGGTGAGAAGGGGGTGAACACAGCAGATGCAGCCTTGAACTACAATCTGGATCTCCTATTTTGGTTCTCTGCAGTAGTGTTAATCCACATTCGTGCGATGCTGAGTGAACTCCATGCCAACACACTGCTAGTAAACACAAGACGGTTCTGGCTACTATCTTAAGCCACTACTATGAGGGCTTAAGGTGGCCAAAATGAAGATTTATATAATGAATTGACATTTTGTTACATTCTGATGGTGGTATATTTTGGTTCTTGCCATCTAATCCGTTACTTTGCAAATATTCACTGGAAGTCTACAATGCGGCACGGCAATATGCCAGAAGATATGAAAGGGCTATGGTATTCTGGTTTTGTCCAATTGCTTATTTTGGAACCGTGTCTGATTCTGGAATCTAATGCTTACCCTGGGTAGGCGGGGATGGCTGTTGGAGGTACCGCTCGGACTGCACCATACACTGTCCGCCCTCGACCCCTCAGATGGGCTCCTCTGAAAGCGGCTGCTGTGGTGGCTGCAGTTGGGTAAGGGAAACCAGGAACTAAAGGGAGACCCAAAATATGACAGAAATTTCAACTTGCATTCAATAGCAAGTATACAATCACAACTCACTTTGCAACAATTACAGAAAAGATTAGAAGATATATGCCACATCTTTTCTGAAAAGGCGGCACACATATTATTCAATGGACCTCCTATCCTGAGTCTCAAAGTAAGAAAGAAATGGAAAGAGAGCTCTAACATGCAAAAAACTAATAATTCCATGCCTCAATCATCTGGAGTGAGTTTTCTCTGCTTCTTTCCAATTTTGGCATTACAGTGCAACCTGGTGAGAAACTGGTCAAAAAGCTGTGAGAACTACTGCCATAATAAGAGACAAGACCTTTAATTTCTGTGGGCACTTTAAATCAGACTGATATAAACTCTTCAACTGGTCAATTATTAATTTTATTTGAAAACATTATCATGTGCATACAGTTATTCCTCAACAGAGTATTCTTTTTGTATTTTTACATGGTGCCAACCTCCAAGGCACACAATCATCTTTAGACATTTCATTAGTCAGCTTCATTCTTTTATCTAAAAAGTTTTAATCCAGAAACGTAAGGTGGGAGGGAAACTCTTCCTCCTCGTAGCCTTTTATCCTTTAAGGAGGCAGACATTTCCTAGGGTCTATTTTAAGTATACCATCCTCGGGAAAGCATGCAGAGGCATTGATTCCGTGTCCACTGAACCCAGCTTAATTACACCTCTTGCTGGAGCAAAATAGCTCAGGTCAAACTGACTTTAAAGCTATCAACAGGGCTGAGAACAAATCAACAATACTGAAAGTGCCTCTACTAGAGGGCTCAAAGCTGACTTGCAAAGAACATGTATAATAAATATATACCACAAAAAGTACTCCTTTTGTTTTCTTTATTGCCAAGTACACAGACTAAAATGTTCTTAATATGCCCTCACCCACTCTACCTTTTCCAGCTATTTTTACTTTGTGGCAATCTTAAGATTTGGTCAAGCAGATTCTAGCACAGGCTAAGCAGGACGGGGCGTTGTGACAGTATTATCTCTTTTGAGAATATCTCACTTTCAGTATGTATTATACTAGGAAGAGAAGACTAGGGCATCATTGTTCCCTGACAACAGTCAAAATACATGCCAGGCCAACATAGGCTACTTACTGATTAAAGGAATGTAAGTGTTAATACCCCCTCTTCCTGATAGGGGCACTGCCGCATCATTGCCTAGGGAGACATCTGCTTGAAAGCTGGATGCTGATTACATTTAAAAAAGAAATTTTAAATATGAAATGGTTACAAAGGAATAGCAAATTGAAAAACAACAGATGTTATAGCAGTTAAATAGCACAAATGGAAACATTAACTTAAATACTACCTGCATATAACTCGGGGCCATACACAGCTCCAACTACTGGGCTTAATTTCCAACCTGAAACAGAAGAAATGATAGTCAGCATTTAAGACAACATTGGAAATTTATAAGAAAAGGGAGCCATCAATCCATGTACCAGTTGGCTTCAGGCATCTCTGGGTTTATTCTGGCCTACTACCAACTTGCCTTTAGAATGACAGCTGGGAGGGTTAAACATATTAGAGGGTCATGACATTTCTAGATCTGATTGTCTTCAACAGGGGAGAGAGAGGAAGAGAGAGAAAGACCGGGAGGTAAGGAAAGAGAAGAATGGAGAGGTTATGAGAGAAGGAAAAAGAAATATAAGTAAATATTGGGGTGTGGTGTAGTGGTTCTCAGAGAACAGCCTCAGATAACCTAGTCTTAGTTTAAGAAAAAGGAAAAAAAGTAGAATACTTCATTCTGTACCATACTGTCATGCAATTTCCTATATATTATCTCAACACTGTTTACTGTTCTGGTTACTTCATAAAGGCGTCCTCGGGTTGAATGCAAATTGACCGAGATCTTTGACTCCAAGTCCAATTATACCATGCTGGTATTCTGGGTAAATGGAAATTTGGTATTCTGGGTAAATGGAAATCCTCTTCTATTTTGCGTTGGGCTTTAACAATTCTAAATCACAAAGTCAACAAGGAAAGACTGCATACAATAATAAAATTTAAGATAAATTGCCAACTTCAGCGCATGGCTTTATTTTGTAATGAACATATTTAAGTTAATCAGACTTTTTAGCTAACGAAGGATACTAGACTGCTATTGAACATGAGATTAAATATTTATATATTTAAAAAATTTACAAACAACATTATATGTGATGTTACTTTTTTCCCTATTTTTAATAAGAATATGGTAAGAGTTAAAAAAAGTAGTACTGCCCACTAACAGCTAATTAGTAGAATTCTATGTAAAAACTTCAATCAATAAATATTTGATTTTCATACATAAACAAACAAACACATCTACATTATTTTTCCAAGGCTCCTTGGCTTACTTCTTTTATATTGTCTAAAGTGCCTAGCACTATGCTACACTACTCTATAAATATTTGAGTGCAAAGAAGAAAAGGTCAATTCTGTGGGAATCACCAGACTTAAATGGCCATAAACAATGACATTATTCAAGAGAAAACCTATTCATTCTGAACCAATTCAATCTATCATTATTTTATGTCCTTATCACGGTGATGCCTATGCCTCTTCATTATTCTACGTAAAATTTTGGCAAATCCTGGGTTCAAATCCTACTTGAGTTGTAAGAGCACAGATGTTCTGCAATGTCAGACAAATCAAGTGATTTCAACCAAGAATTCACCAGAAGGCATCCAGCAGACTCTTCTCAGAAAGTGCGGCTCCTTTCGGCTTAAATATTAATCTGGAATAATATTTTTATAATCATCTCTTTCTTTCCTACCAACGGCACTATTTCTTGAGCTTCCCTTTAAATCTGCACAAGTTGAAATGTTGTTAATAATATCTTAAGTATATATTTAGTTTAGTACAATTTACAATGTACTTTCACAGACGTTTATGTCATTTGACCCTCACAAAACCTAGAGAGAGATAGGATAAGTACCATTTCTGTGACCACAGGTAAGTACTATACTTCTCTGGGCCTCATTTCCTAAATAATAAGCTGAGAGGGTTGGATTTTGATGACTTGTGAAAGGATTGGTGCTAAAATTCTGTCAGCCCCAATTTACAGATATGAAAACAGAACATACAGATTAAGAAACTGGCCCATTGTCACACAGTAAAATGAAGAGTCAAATCTAGAAGTAGAATTTCTGTCTCCTGAATTCCAGTCAGAAGCTCCTTCCACCACACTATTTTTCCTATGACCTAAAGAAAATTTAATATACTTTGCCTCTCCTTCCTACTGATTGTGAGGGATATACTCAATAATAATATACTTCTATTTGATTTGCTGGAGCCCTGGTGGCATAGTGGTTAAGAGCGTGGCTGCCAACCAAACGGTCAGCAGTTCGAATTCACCAGCTGCTCCTTGGAAACCCTATGGGACACTTCTACTCTGTCCTACAGGGTCGCTATGAGTCGGAATCGACTCGACGGCAACAGGTTTTGTTTGGTTTCGGTTTATTTGATTTGTTAAGACATTACTAGCATATACTGCTACACTCTAACAGTATTCTCAAACTTTTAAAGAAGAGCAGACACTCCCTCTTTTACAGATAAAATCTTATGCAGAACCCCAAAATGTACAACAGAGAATGCAGAGTTGCTCAGATTAAACTAGAGCTGGAGGTTTCAGGACCCACGCCATTCAGTTTCCTCTGTTGTTTCCCGAAGATGGCTCTGTAGAACAGAGTTTACAAAACCACTGTTGTAATGTAATACAGATTAAATTACATTCTATCTCATTTACAGAACGTAAGTCTAGATTAAATTTGACAACTGATGCAAAAGTTTTGCATTTGTTAGACAAAATCTTCATAGAAAAATTCCTTCTCAATGAGAAACATTTATATAATTCACTATATAACATGTAATCATGGAATAGAAAATTTCACACAAACACAAAACACAGCTGTTACCTCTGGGTCACATCTTATAAAGAAAGCAAGGGGTCCAGAATTATAAAAGTAATTAAAAAATACTTATCCTTATTGCACTCTTGCTCAGATGAGTAGGAATCAGTAGTAAAGGCCAGAGCTGGTGGGCATCCAGGGGTATTATGAACAAGCCTAACCTATTACAAAGAACTACAGCTGAAAAAGAAGATGCCCAGAGTGGGATCTAACTTTGGTAGATGTTGTTGTTGGGTGCCACTGAGACGATTCTGACTCACAGTGGCCCTGTGTGACAGAGTAGAACTGCCCTATAGGGTTTTCTACACTGTGATCTTTATGGGAGCAGATTGCCAAGTCTTTCTCCCGTGGAGCTGCTGTGTGGGTTCAAACCGTCAACCTTTCAGTGAGCAGCCGAGTGCTTAACCTTTGCGCCACCAGGGTTAACTGGAAATCTCAAGCGACATGTTTGCACTAGTATATAAGATGAGTTTTACTGAGAATGTAATATACCTCAATAACTACAAAACTTAGCTTAGTTCTAAGAACAAATTTAACTTGTAAAGATAAAATACCCCTAGGTAAGAGAATACTTGAATGTAAATTAACTGTCTTAAGACAAATCAAGAGAGATTCTTAAAAGTTTATGAAGTTTGTAGATTTATACAAGAATAACATTCTGCTGAAGGTGATCTGTAATCTCTTACCATTTGCATATGGTGTGACCATCTTCTTATTGGTCATTACTCGTGCGGTAGCATTATTCACCTAAGAATAAAAAGTAGAAGGAAGGGGCAGGGAGGAAGTAGACCATATTAGGGAACATGGAGTTGCTCATCCAATAACACAATACTTAGTTTAAAATGTAAATTTCACAGAGCACTGATTTAAATAATTAAAATAGCAATAATAATATATACAGCTTCAATTAAAGTGCTTATTAAATGAGGCTAACGAGAGTAAAATGCAGTTTCTTGGTCTCCAAGTGGAAAACTCAAGCTACTTTACCACTCAGGACTCCAAAGGAAAAATACATTTGCAAGTTCTCTGGAGACCACTTAAACAGAGAAGTCTCTCCATTAAGGAAAATATGAAAAAAAGTAACTAGGAAACAACTCTATTTGTACATGAACTTTGAAGTTCATTAATAAATCAGAGGCTTGTCACGTGGGTCATGAAATAGATTTTCAGGAAGATAAGAAAATAAATCTATTGATTTCATCGGTTCTAATGTTCAGCATTTGTTGATGAACCATAGTTTGTGTAAGATTTTACTGTTTGAGGTTAGTAAACAAATATAGGAACATAGATTCCTATGGTGATAGTCTCTAGGACCATTCTGAATTTTCTAAACTAAATGGTCTATTCATTTAAGAACAAAGTTTTCAGAAGGCCTTTAAAAGTAGGTATTAAAAGTGTTGAGAAAAAGCTATTTCTTTTGTTTTATGGTGCTCTCCACCCTCATTACAGAAATGCATAATTTAAAGCATTCTCAGTGCTTGGGCAAGTAGGTATTACTAAGACGATGCTGATGAGAAGACAAATGGAGCTTAGAGGCCAGGGTCCTGCAGATCAGTGTCAGAACCAGACTCAAAGCTCTAGCAAAGAAGGGAAAGCCGCACCATAGAACTCAATTACATGCTGTTTTGTCAAGTCTTAAACAGGCCAATTTTAAAAAGAATTCTAACATATATAAAATATAACCATGACTTATTTTTCCTCTTGGAATTTGCATTGTGCCAAATTTGCATAGTGATAAATTTGCTTTTCGAAAAGATCAATTTTAAGTAGAATTGGAACTAAAAAAAAGTTGGAATATGTCTTTTAGGCGTTTTTAGTAATAACCCATCTCTGTGAAGAAGAGTGTGAAACTCCATTTACTCAAGTTTGACTCACCAAATAATATAAACATTTCACATTTAAAAAAGAAAGAATGGGATACAACAATGATGAGACTGACAGCATGCAGTTAAAACACACACACACACAAATAAAGAAAAAAACAATCAATTTTGTAAAGAAGGGAGAAAGTGAGGAGCGAGGTTCTCACGGACAATGATTAGAATGGAGCAAGAGCTTAAATCAGCTGCTAGAGCAGAATGCAACCAAGCACTTAAAAGGAAAAATGGCCAGAATCAATCAGAAACCACCAGTCAGCAAAAGAGACCAATAGCTGCGTATTGATGGGGAAGGTAGAACAAGGAAAAGGAAAGGGGCAGACACTTGGGTAAAGAGAAAACTAAGGTAAGGGTAAGGGAAAGAAAAGAGAAAGTCAGGAAGGGAGTCACGGGCAGGAAAGAGAGCTGTCAAGAGCAAAGAAAGAACAGTCATAGCTACAAACAGAAGGTTTGGGAAAGAGGAAAAGTAGGAAAGGAAGTAGGGACAGGAAGTGCATTAATAAGACCAGCCAAACTGGGGTTGAGTAACTCTGAGTAAGATGTGCAAGGGGGAAAAAATCACCATGAAGTCAGTAATCAAACAGCTCAGACTGCTACAAAACAATATGTACATCCAAAGTCCAGGCGGCATCACTCAACAGCATTGAAAATAAAAGGGGGGAAAGGAAAAGGAAGAGGAACAACAAGTCAAATCACATTTTGTAGTGTTAATGTGAGATGGCAGATGGACTTTTTTCTTTCTTATTTAATTGTTTTGTAATTACATTTTTAAAAGCTTCTTCTCTAGTGCTTTTGTTTCACTTACCGCCAACGGGTACCATCGCCAGCATTGTGTATAGTTACCATGGAAAGAGTGAGTCAAGTGAAGGGCCCTAAATGCTAAACCATTGGAAAGGGGGAGGAAAAAAAAAGCAAAATATGCAGACATCTTACTCAAAATGGTGGCTTTTATACTTAATACTTTTTAAAAATTGGGAAAGGGGAAAGGAGCCAGTTAACCTTCACTGCGTTATTAAAAAGGGCTGGTGAACACCAGGTAGCTGACTCAACCATGCTAACATTACATTTGCCAGCCAGCCATCAAACCCTCTGAAGGATTTTATCTGTAAAGATTTCAGAATTAACTGTTGAAATTCTTGATATTTGAATATATCAACAAACAGCATGAGCTTCAGATTCTTTCCTCCCTCCCCACAACCTCTACCATCTTCTATTCCTTGCCTACCACACGCACATGGAGGCAAACTGGCCTCCCAAGAGAAAGAGGATATTGGCTGGCCCACTGATTCATTACAGGACACAATGTTATAAACTGGACAGTTTTTAGACATTTTTTCAGTTAGGTTTGTTTAGGCTTGATCACAGGAATTCAGAGTCTAGCAAACTGAAGCAAAGGAAAAAAATCAAGAGCAGAAGGATGAACATTTTGGAGGAAGAAAAAAGTAAATAAAAACAAATAAACACATACATACACACACAAAATCAAAATTTAAACCCCCAAACAACCAAAAATGAGGGAGAGGAGGACAGAAGTGTTACTTTAATACATTTTAGTGCAAGGTGAAGGACAGACACCAACACACATACACGTGTGTGCGTACACACACACACACACACAAGACAGGGTTCCAAATGTGAAATAAGTGAGGCAATACACAAAAAAATAAATAAAAATATAAACCAGAAATTGAATTATTGAAGACATGCACCTCGATTTTACGGCCCTCTACCACGGTGCCGTGTAATTTCTCCCTGGCCCTGTCTGCATCAGCACTATTCTCGAAAGTTACGAACCCGAATCCCTGCATGCAGCGGGAGAAGGGGGGGAAAACATGCACATCGTTATATTGAAATACTGATCTCTTGGTAAATAGAGAAAAAATATCACAGCATGAAACTGACATCAGCAATAACTCAGCAATACTCTCCCAAAGTCACATTTTTGGTCCATGCATATTTTATAGAGGGGAATTTAAGTCAATTAAAAAAAAAAAAACTATAATAATTGTAGTAATAATTTAATTAACAACAATAACAGTAATAAAATAAAACATAACGCATGTGAGGCCAGACCAAAATTAGGGTATAGAGCTACTCAGGTCAAACTAGTCAATTAAGAATCTGAATATTTTTGAATGTCCTACCTTCCTTTCTTAATCCATGCTGTTCATATGTCCCTATATGTAATGCTAAAGTATACTTAATTAAGTTGACCCTTTAACACTCCAAGGTCATTATTCTCCAGTGCCTTCTACATGAAATCTGATACTTAAGCATAATCAATGTATAATGAGATTTTTCAGGGGGTCTAATCATTTTAGCTCCCACTTTGCTCATTGCTCACATCACTATTAATTCCTTTGGGAACAGGATAATTTTTTTTTTTAAATTTTTTTTATTGTACTTCAGGTGAAGGCTTATAGAACAAATAGTTTCTCATGAAACAGAAGTACACATGTTGTTTTATAACACTGGTTAACAACCCCACAACGTATCAACCCTCTAACTTCTCAACC